ATTACCTATACAAAGTTCTTCAAGATCCAGTTGCAAATATCTGGGTAAAACATATGCATCATGCCATTTCTTTTCAGGTCATAACGCCTCAAGTAATTAGCGTCCAGGCTCCACCGAAAGTAACCCCTGGCACGGTTGATGTGACCCTGTCATTTCGCAATACACAGTTCTGCAAGAGAGCACCTGCTAAATTTGTATATACAGGTATAGTGATAAGATGAAAAAGCATATAACGAAACAGACTTCTAATGAAAAGGACGGTTCAAAATATTGGCTCGGCTTCAAGTCGAGTAGTAGTCGAGTTCAGGATGTCACTATGCATGGTTGAATACTGCTAAAGAATTATACGTGACAGAATTGACCGGTGTAAATATTATATTTTATATAACATCGATATATATTTAAAAATCTACTGGCTCGTACTCACAGAGAAAGACATACATACCTACCATGCATGTTAAGGTCAAAGTTATTAGCGTGTAGACCATTTTCATTATGATGGTCTTAGAAGGGCTCATTTTATTCTGCCGAAGCCAGACTTGCATGCAACCTCGTTCCCAAAGAAAGATCCTGGGTACGAGGTTGACTTGCATGCCGGGACACTGGAAAACAGTCTGTTAGTTGTTGTCTTTAATGCAATAGAGTCAACTGACGTGGCTTCTACTTTTGGACATAATAAGTTATTTTTTCATTTTTATAGCTTTAAATGAACCAACCATCGACAACGGATTTCAAAGGTTGCAAAAAATTGTTCCAAAACATCTTGGTGATCCAGACAGCTTACCAAAGGTATGCATACATATTTTGTACATTGGTTGTTGTAATGTTTGTTGAAACACAAGAACGGCCTTGACATGACGATTAAAATTGTTTGGCAGCATTACAGTATATTCTGTATTATACCATTGTTTTGCCCAGTGGTTCATTAAGGCCTGTTTTATACGTCGAATTTTGGTCACGTCGAATGCAATTAAGACAATAGATAATGAGTTGATAAACCTCATTAAGCTTCATTAGAGAGTTTAAGCTTTGCGTTATACGTCAAACGGTAAACGCCAGTCAAAGAAAAATGTCACGGTTTCAGGCAATAAAGAGTAAATGAAATTGTTGTTTTAAAACTGAAATACACAATTATTCTTTCGACGCAAGAAAGAAAATATGAAACGAAAACGTTCAACGAAAAGTTTGCCAAGAAAGTTCGAACGTGCCGTTTGCCGTTCCCGGAAACGTGAAGCTTAAACTCCCTATTATCTATTGTTTGAATTGCATTCAACGCGACGTATAAAACAGGCCTAAGGTATTGCATTCAATTCGACGTCAAACAGGCCTAAGGTTGATTGCATGCAGACACTATAAAGACAGAAAAGTTGTGAAGAAGAATTGCAGTATATTAACATTAAGCAAAATAAACGAGACACCCCATGCTCCCGCACTCTCCCCAATGTTGGTTAGTGACTGTTAGTATAGTTTCAGGCCTTCCTTTTGAATTTCGACCTCAAATAGCAACATTGAATGGGGGAAAGGGGATAAACGTTAAAAAAACATGGTGGCTAATTCTTACTCATCTCGAAAACAATGGTCGTTAAAGAGATAGCTTCAACACCTTGAACAAGATAAATCATTGTCATTGACACGTGGTTCATTTCTATTTTCTTAAGGAATTAATACTAAAGAGAGCAGCAGATACCTTGGAAACTTGTTATCGTTATTCCCGTCCTCGTCCAAGTTACCCCAATTCTAAAACCTCTGGTGTATACACAGCATTGTATAAATCACCACTAAATGATAACGTACCACCATACAACAATATTAGTGCTGGTTTTTTTATAAACCCAACAAGTTCTCAAAATGGTTGTACGTATGTCAGTAATCAAGTCCCAACTCACTTACAGAGCCCTTCATTCCTGAGCTCGGCATCATGTTCCAACACCACAGATGAGAACCGTATAATTGTGAACGGTACAAGCGGACCATTACCCAGTGTTTCAACCCTAACAACAAGTCGTAATAGTACTGGTTCACATCTAGAGACTGATAATCAACAGCTATCACCGATGCTATCACGAGGACCGGGGAACTCATTCTGTGCTGGTTACTCGAATTTTCAAGTTTCTCCTGGTACGGTACCATCGAATTTTGGAATACCAGCGTCACCAAGTATGATGACTGGAGCTACAGGTTGGTTGTTAAATGTCTGAGTTTTTGTCTCCTCTGTCTCTCTAAAACTGCTGTTTTACATTAGTGACCATGGTTTGGTTCCGCAACGTACTCAATGGAAACTGGTTATGACTGTTTATGTACATGTTAACGGAGGTTTCGTGTGTTTGTTTTTCGTTCTGTCATGTTTGTGCTGTTCTGCCCGATTCCTGTTTTGTTTGATTAAAGTGTACGTCCGGTTCGACTTATGCAAACACTGCATTCCTTCTGTAGAAAGAAAGGACCAGTAAGGGAAGCCTCGCATATCGATTTTGTCCACGAGAAACGTCATATGGATGGCTGC